TTACTGATTTCAAATCAAAATTATGAATTAGTTCTTGAATTTGATAATAATAGATGTAATACAAATTGTAGATTATAAACTTAGCTTATTGAACATAAATATTTTAAAATAGATAAAAACAAAAGTGCAGATAAAATTATCTTGCGGGACAATCATTCATCAAGTAGGTCCGTAAGAGAGGGAACAAAATACAAATGATGTGATTTTGTAAATATTCAAAATTGTTTCATTGATTCGCAGTAAATTGTTTCTTTGACTAATAAAAGAAAAAGAAAAAAAAGTAAAGAAGTGGAGATACAATGGGATAACCATCTCAGTCTTGGGACCTGAAAAAGAAAAATAAATATAAAAAGACTTCGCAAGGATTTTTGAGTTGATAAGATTGTAACGTCGGAATTTGTTTAACAATAAAAAGATCGAACACTGATTTGGTTCTACTTTACTTTTGTTTGCCACTTCCAATTGCAGAAATCACTCATTTGTCGTTTTTTTATTTTAGGTATTGATGGATATTTGAACCTAACTTTATTATTTTGAAAAGAATTTTATTATGCTAGTAAGGACTTTCTTGAATATTCAATTGGATTAAATGCCTATTTGCATAATAAATTTTTACAATATCATATTTTTATAGTTTATATATAATATATATATAATTATATATATATAGATCTTGATCAACAGCGTCAGGACGCTAGCGCTCCACGATACAAAATTCCCGAGACCTGGGGGGGCGGTGCCTTGAGGTCAAGCGCTATATATACTATATATATATATCATAGATATATATATTGATATATATTGCTACAACCGATGATAATACATATCTCATTTTTCTTTATAATTTTTTATCAATATCATCTCCCATGCACGGCACTACGAGAAATTATGAAAATAGCAAATAAATTTCCATTTCTAAATTATGAAAGCACGTTGCTTTAAGTTTAGAAACTAATCAAACACCGAAATTACACCGAAATTGTTCGTATCACTTGGCGCGTTTCTAAGGTGCTTTAGCAACAGGTTTACATTCGTTTTTAAACGGCAGCCGATTTTCTATTGCTAATGCATGGACAAAAATAAATTTCTAAGTTTGGCCACATTTCATTTCCAAATCAATCTATTTTCCAATCAATCCGTTGCCATCCGTCTCAAAATCGGATCGAACCGATCAGTTCGACCAATTTGATGGGTTTTATACCAATTAAAAATTCCTTATTTTATTTTGCTATAAGAAATATAAATTACAAAAGGTTCAATTTTATATAGGAGATGGAAAATATTTAGTTTAATCATTATGAATTATATCTTGTAAAACATTTAAATTGTGTAAACTATATGTAGTTATATTAATAATTTTATTACGTTATAATTACAATTATATAGTTACAATTTAGTTAACTATGTTTTACTACCCAGCTAGCCACCATATATTATTACATATATTAATTATATATATATAATATTAATATATATATATATATATATATATATATATATATTATATTATATACTATATCATATATATATTATATATGAAGATGATTATACTTGCAACTTTATGAACTCAAGAAGTGAGAAAAGACTTTGCAAAGTCCTTTTATATTTTGTTTTTGCTTTATTATTTTTGGGTCCCAACACTAACATGGTTATCCGACAAGATAATCTCATGCATCATCGCCTTCCTTTTTCTTTTCTTATAAAGTTGTTTAGTCTCTGCTTCTAAAGCAATCAATAATGCTTTGTAATTGTTGACGCCAAAGCAAAGTACAAGTCCATTCAAATCTATTTATTAGATATTCTAGAATATTATAGGAAATTTCCATTACTTTTGCTTTTTATTTGTTTCTCACCCTTTTTTTTTTTTTTATCTCTTAATTTCTTATATTCTATTTCGTCTGTTTAATAAATATTTTAGAATAAATTATTTTTTTAAATATAATAAATATTTTAAAATGGAGATAATATCCACTTATTTCATTAAGTTGCAATCCTACTATTTTAAAAGTTGTTTATAAAAATCCATCATTCAAAAAGTTAAATATAAATTTGTTATCAGATTATATATATATATATATATATTATATATATTAACTTACAATTAGGACAATATTTAAATATATATATATATATATATATACTTACAATTAGACAATATGTTGAAGTGTTCTTGTAAAATTATTTAGTGCTAAAGAAATTATTTTAAATGGAATAAAGTATAAAGAATTTATATCAACTCCAAGTTTTTGTAAAGTCTTGTTCTTATATTCTTTTTTTCTATACATTTTTCCGAATTCCCAGCACTAAAATTATCATCCACTTTCTTTACTTTTTTTTGTCGTTAGTGCTTTGTTACTTTATATCATTGTCTCAATAAAATAATAGCGATTGCATTATCATATACAAAAAGACCAAATTTATATTTAAAGGCGATCATTTAAATTTTAAAATTACTTTTATATCATTCCCTGCAGAGTTGATCTATTCAAGAGGAAAATCATTTCTTCCGTAGTTGATTGCCATTGTCCCGTTCTGTGATTTTCAGCCCGAAGACACTGATCATTGCTTGCTTTTTTGCTCCAAATCGTTCAAAATCTGGAATTTAATTGTTAATTGGTCGAGTGCTTTCAGAACTCCTTCATCAAAAGTAACAGATTTAGCTTGACAATAGAAAAATCTAATCTTAAAAGGAAATTCTTTAATATGGATGTTCATCTTATACTTTGGCCTTATGGACCATTTGGTGGAGGAGAAACCTTTTCATTTTTAAGCAAACATAGTTAGAAGATGATCAATTGCTAGAAAGAATAAAAGTTAGAAGTTTCGAGTTGATTAAAGCTAATTTTTCATTTTCTCCTATTTCTCTTAGCGACTGGTTCATCTTTCCTTCTTTGATGCACTGAAGCAAATTTTTTAAAAGAATGAATAAAAATAACAGTTAGTATTGTTTCTTCGCAAATCTGCTTTTCTCTCCTCATGAAAAGTAACTGCAGTTTTTGATAAGTTTTTGGTAATCATTTGTTTAGTGTTTTTGATTTTGCAATAGGTTTTTATTTTTCATATCCAGGTTAGGTCTTTTGGATATAGAGGGGAAAGTCTGATGGCTTAGGTTTAGCATCCTGAGAATGTGAGTTTTTTCTATTAGCAATATTATTTTTTCTTAATAATATATTTTTTTCTTATAAAAAAATTCAAATCATCAAAATTAATAAATAAAATAATGGTTTTATAATTGTTATTTTTTATTTTTTACCAATGAAAATTAAAACAAAGTAAGTAAGTGGTGTCCCAATAAAATTATTGGGACTTATTAATTTATTTGCAGTTTAATGTTTAAATAATAATGCTACCTTAAATAATAACTTTATTTGCAATTTCTTAGATCTATACTTTAAATTTGATGACTCACGTTGATATTAAATGATAAGAAAGAGACAAAAAGAAAAATAAACCTTATGAAAATGAGTAGGGGTGATATTTTTATGGAATTTGAAGTTTAATTATATTCTATAAAAGAGGGAAAAAAATAGAAAGAAAAAAAAAATTACTTTCCACTTGTTAAAATAAAAGTCTAAAATTACCAATAGCATCTTAATTGAGGTGATAAGGGTGTGAATACTAATTTGATTTCTGAAAATGGTACTTTGCCTCAGGTATTGCACTTCTTTATTATACTAAAAAAATAAAGTGAAAATTTATATTCATTTGATTTTTTAAAATACAAAACTTGATAATAATAATAATAATAATAATAATAATAATAATGGTCGATTTATATTTTATAAATTAGATCAAACCTGAAGAATTAAATAATAAGTAACCTCAGTCCTTAGCTCTAAACATGAAAATGATTTACAATTTTCTACAACGTTCATATTTTTTAATTAAAAAGAAAGGAAAGAGGTTTTTTTTTTCTGGGTTTTCTTTTTTTAAGGTAAAAGGAAAGAAAAGAGGTTGAAAAAAGAAGAGAGAAAGGAAAAATAAACTATAAGAGTGGAAATTGTTTTAATAAATTGGAAGTTCATTTAATCCCCATAAAAAAGAGTAATTACTTTCCACTTGTCTTTTATCATGCAATCACTTTATATATAATTACTTGCCATTGTCTTTTATCATGCAATCACTTTAATAATACCTATATATAATATATATATATGATATATAATATAGTATAATATATATATATTTATATATATATATATTTTTTTTTTTTTTTTTTTTTTTTTTTTTTTTTGAATTCAGGCGTTAACAATCACGACGAGCTGTGAAATAAATTATTAAATAATAAACAAAAGAAAGTGGAATGATAGTATTTTTTTTTTTGAATTCAGGGTTAACAATCACGACGAGCTTGTGAAATAAATAATTTAAATAATAAACAAAGAAAGTGGGAATGATATTATCTCTTCAGACAATCATTGAATAATCAGGAGGGCTGAAACAATAGTGGAAAGAAAAAATATATATATAAGGACTTGCAAAGACTTATATCACATACATCGATAGGGTATAATTCCGACGCTATGGAATGTTTGAATGGAACTATTTATCTCTCTCAATAATATTTGAGAGGGAAAAAAATCAGAACAAAAACCCTCCAAAAAAGCTCATAGTTGAGGTTTTTGCTCAGTTGTAGTAAAAGTTGGGTAAAATAAAAAATTAAAAAAAAAAAAACCTAGAATTTACTCACGACGAAGTCTCTATTAAATCATATTTCCCATCTCCAGGTAACATTATTGCAGTGTTTGCATGTAACTGTTCTGCTGAATGAAGAAAGTTTATATATTAAAAATGATTCGAACTCAAAATCTCTTAATCCTCACATAAGTAAGAAGACGAGTCAAACTATACTGATTGACAATGTAAATTTGCCTGAAAATATCTATAATTGTACAAATAAAATTGAGTCCAATCCAAGATGTAACGTGGACCAATAATATACCCAATGCTCTTTGATCAACTTTTAAAAGAGAAAGTAAAAGAAGACATTGAAAGGTATTGCTTTTGGAGGTGAGCGGTGATATCCTATATCTTTGAAGAGTTACATGTTAAACTGCAAGTGAAGAAAAAAATGGCCATCACTAACTTTGCTCCCTTCTTCATCCTCCTCTGTTTATGTTTATTTGGATTTGGGAATACTGATTTCGACTTACCTCCAGATGAAGGTACTAATTATTATAAAATCTATTTCTTAATTATTTAATTATTTTGTCTTTCCTTTTTAAAATGAATTTTATGATGTAAAAAACAGCCAAGAAAATTTTGATTTACTTTCCTACCATCGACCAGTATTCCAAAGTGAGAAGTCCATTAGGTGCTGACTATATTCAGTTTAAATACTGCAGAATTCGAGATCTTTGATTAAAAAAAAGAGTTCCAACCAATATTGAACTCTTACGGTTTTTTTTTATTCAATTATCGTGAAATGTTATATTTTATTAGAAAATAAAAATATTTTTTGTTATGTAGAACCATAAGAATTAATTTAATTATTAAAAATTCGAATGAATATATTAAAGTTTTTTCAACAAGTTTTGTTTTAAGTTCAAGATGTGAATTTTTGCAGTTGATGCTCTTGGAGAAGTGTTATCTAAGATGGGGATAGTTCCAACACCATCCTTTAGTCGTCCTTCTTATTGTGATAATCCAAATGAAGGAGTTTATGCTGTTACGATCTGGTGCAACTGTGGTGATAACAACAAGACATGTCACGTATCTGATATGTATGTTTCTCATCAACTCAATATTATTCATATTCTCTTAGATAAAAGTTTAAATTTTTCTTTGATTATATATATAGCTTCCAGCCAGAGAGAAACTAGAAAAAATTATTTGAGGTGCGAAATAAAATTTTTAAAAATTTAGGGGAAAAATATAGTTCTTAATATTTTTAGGGATCAAAATATAACTTTTCATAAGAATAATTTTTTAAATATTTTCTTGGGTGTTGGCTACCAAAACTACACCAGGTTTCATCCGAAGATTGAGATCATTTGCCAAAAAATTCACAGGTAGACTCAGTTTGCTGCATTAGTTGTAGACTCACCTAATGAAATAAAGTCATGTCAATATTTAGCTTATTTTTTTCTAGTTTATTCCCAGTTAATTCTTTTACATTTCTAGTTTTTTTAGAGATAGAAGCCTAGTTTTATCGGTTTAGAAGTTATTTTTGTGGGACGCAAAAAAAGCAACATGTTGACATGACTTTATTTCATTAGATGAGTTTATAGTTGACATGATAAATTGAATTTACTTACTTTATCGATTTACCATTCCAATTAATGCCTTGTTGATAATGAAAGCAAAGACTTTAAACTACAACTACTGTTTACTGCTTTGGATGGTAGAGACTTTGAGCTACTGGTTTCAATGGTAGAATAAACTTCACTGCTATACTCCAAAACAAAACATTAATAATTCAATTTTTTTTTTTTGTTAGAAAACATAAATATTTCAATTAAGTGCTTTTTTATTTATTAATATAATTTTTTGAGGAAACATAAACATAAAATATTTTGATAAATTTTTATATTTAGTAATTAAGTTGGTTGTTTGAGTTGCAGAATGTTGGATGCAGGAGGAACAGGTGGATATATCGATCCAAGTATTGGTCGTCTCAAGTACTTGGAGAATTTGTAAGTGTAATTTGATTTTCTAAACAAATTGATGAATTGTGAATAAAAAATAATAATTTAGTATTATTATTAAATAAATAACATGACATATTTGTGAACTTTGATGCTGCTCAGATATGTTGCAAACAATCAATTGTCTGGTGGGCTACCTGATGCAATTGGAAACCTGACACGTTTGCAGTCGATGTAAGTCCATGAGAATTAATTTTTTTTCGTAAAAATGTTTTAGAAAATCTTTAATCTCGTTTATTTGGTTTATAAATGAGGTTATAAATTCAATCCAGATAAATTTATTCCATGCATAACAATAAAAAAAAAAAGGAAATCCATTAGTTGTTCATCAAAATGTCATTTATTAATCGCATGATCTACATTATATCATATATTGATCAGGTATATTGGAAGCAATCAATTGTCCGGTTCGATACCTTATACCATAGGAAATCTGCAAAGTTTGGAACTGCTGTAAGTCTGCTGTACGATTGGAAATCTGCAACATATACTTGCCTACTACTATATTTTGGTACTTTTGTTTCAAAATAAATTTTATTTTTATTTCAAAATATAAATCGTTTTAAATATTTTAAAGAGTTTCAATATTACTCTTATTTATATCGGAAACAATAATTATCATCATAGGTTATTATTGATTTTGAAATAAATGGTAATTTTTGGCCAAATTACTTTTAGTTTTGTTATAATTTAAGAAAATTAATTACTTCTTTTAATCTCTGTGCAAAAACCTTCACGACTTATTTGGGACAAAAAGACTAATTTGTTCCTAGTTTGCTTAAATAATACTTCATTTATCCCATTTTGTTTGCATGATTTGACAAAACACGCATATTAAAAATTTAGTCAACAAAAGTTATTTTGCCATTTTTTACCCTTAACTCGTTAAGATATTAATGAAAGTTCTTCATTTAATGAATAGTTATAAGAGTTATTATAGAAAAAATAATTATTTACCTATCTAAATTTAGAAACTTTACAAATATTTAAAAAATAATTATACCTTATTAATGAAAGTTCTTCATTTAATGAATAGTTATAAGAGTTATTATAGAAAAAATAATTATTTACCTATCTAAATTTAGAAACTTTACAAATATTTTAGAACATTCAAAAAAGGAATAACAAGTAAACAAAATGGAACAGATGGAGTATATTTATGAGCTAATCGGTAAAAAAAAGTATTCACATAAATATAATTTTGCTAGTTTGAAGATTAAAAATAGAGTGATTTTATTAGTTGTATCATTTAATATATGTAATTTTAGAAGTTAAAAGTGTTGCAATGAACTAAAAATTTGAAGGCCTTGTTTAATTACTTAACTCTTCCAAGAAGACTAAACAGTTTGTTGTTTTATCTCCTTGCAGCTATTTACATAGGAACTTATTTACGGGCCAGATACCTTCATCTATCGGAAACATTTCATTTCTCAGACGTCTGTAAGTTTTATTTTTCAAATTAGGTCTTTGGAAAATAATTTATCTTTTGTAAATATTTTTCCTTTTTTAAAATGGAAAGTCATTTCCTTCTAAAATGACTTAATTTTCCCTTTAATCAAAAATATTTTCTATTAAATGATTTTCTTAGACACCCCAAACATCAAAAAATTAAAACATATGTTTTTTAGATAAATTATTTTTTGAAAACAAACGTAACTTAAGTTATTAATTCATTTTAGTTAAATAAATAAAATGTAATTCCCTTAGGGGGTTCAACACATGTAATTCAACCAAAATCTATCATTTCATTTCTAAATAAATTCTATTCTTTACATATGCAATTGATTTAGTTGTTTTCTGATATAGAGAAAAATAATTTGAATTGTAATAAATAATTATCTTTTCTCACTTTTTTTTTTTTTTTCTTCCTCTTTCAGTGTACTGCATGGAAATATGTTGTCAGGTTCAATTCCTTCAACATTGGGCAGTCTCTCTAATCTTTTGACAATGTATATATATATCCTCATTCCTCATCTAAAATGTCATATATTTATTTTTGCATTGGTTTTTTTATTTTTAACCATTTTCCATCTATTGGTTGATAGGAAACTTGAACAAAATCAACTCAGTGGTAGTATCCCATCCGAGCTTGGAAACTTGTATTCACTTGAACAATTGTAAGTAAATAAGTAAACAGAGTCTATGATCGGGTCTGTCTACTTACATCAACTGTTCCTCACACGCTCCGAAACACAAGTAAGAAGCTAGCTTATAGGATTTCACGCCGAAAGAGGCTCAATTAAATATCCCTCTAGATTACAAAGCCGCTCTATTTTAATTAACCCTTGATTAATATATAAGTTGATGGTTATATTATATATAATAAAACATGCATTTGCAAAATTAAGACAACCTTACATTATATTAATTTTCCATTGGTTCCATTTGATTAGGAGATTGCAAGAGAATCAATTGACAGGAAAACTTCCCGAGGAACTTGGAAACTTGGCAAATCTTGCACAGCTGTAGGTTTCTAAAACAGAAATAAAGTATTATTTTTTATTACCATAATATATTAATATATATATATATATATATAATGCACATCACTATCATGTGTTGTAGTGACGCGAGTTCCAACTATCTGACTGGGGTGGTGCCGCCAAGTTACAAGAGACTTACCTCAATCATCTTATTGTAAATCCTTTTTCATTTTTCATTTTTCATTTTTTTTTTTTGTTTTTTTGTTTAAGGATCTAATCTAAATAAAATATGCAGTGCACTAGCCGGCAACAATTTGAATGGTCCGATACCAAATTTTATAACCAACTGGACAAATCTCACCACCTTGTACGTATTTTTCTTTTCTTTTTTTTTTTTAATATATCATGTTAATTCCTCACATTTAATTATTAAATGTAAATGAATTGCCAACTTGATTAATTATTCAAATCACAGATTTCTCAGTGGAAATGGATTTGAAGGAAAATTGTTTCCTGAAATATTTAACATGTCAAACCTTCGGGAATTGTAAGTGCAGTTTTTTTTTTATATTATTATTTTCTTAATTGATTAATTAATTAATTAATGAAAAATTTTCTTTTCCCAAAAGGTGGGTTAGTGACCTCAATAACAGCGGCTTCACTTTTCCCAATCGCAGTCATGCAAACATGACAAATATATACAGTCTGTAAGACATCATTGAAATATAAAAATAATCATAATAATAAATTATTATTATTATTATATCTATTTATTTTTTCATTTTGTAGGGTACTAAGGAATTGCAGCATTAATGGTCAAATTCCCGAATACATTGGCAATTGGTCATCATTGAAATATCTGTTAGTATTTTTCCTCTTCGTAAATCTAGAAATTTTATTATTATTATTATTATTATTACTTCGTAATCTAGAAATTTTATCTATTATTATTAAATTTTTTAATTTATTATTATTATTATTATTATTATTATTACACAGTGACTTGGAGTTTCAACAACTTGACTGGTGAGATTCCAGAATCTTTGAAGGCTCTAAACTTGAGTTAATTATTATTATTATTATTATTATTATTATTATTATTATTACACAGTGACTTGAGTTTCAACAACTTGACTGGTGAGATTCCAGAATCTTTGAAGGCTCTAAACTTGAGTATAATGTATGTACGCCAATTTTAACCTAATTAAATGTTATCATGTCATAGATTATTCTAAAAATTTTACTTTTAGGTGAATTTTTTATTTACTTGAGATGCAAATTCATACAATAATTAAATTTAGAAAAATAAGAAAATTTCCTTAATTTATCATGCAAAATAAATAATTAAGAAATGATTTTGCATTATTTAATTATACATTCTGGATTATATTAATATGCAGGGACTTATCATACAACAATTTTGCATCCTCAAACGATTTCCTCATAGGAAAAAAATCCAGTGGGAAAAAACTAAATAGGTAAGTGATTATTATTTTTTTTTTCTCTTCTGTTTCTACCAATTATATTAATTTCATATTAAAGTTTCATCTAATAAAAAAATTCCTCTTTTTTCCTTTTAATATGTTATGCTCAACTACTAAAGCGATACACGTTTTGTCTGAAAATAACCTACGTACCTGAAAGATACATGAAATCACCTATATACAGTGACGGAGCTAGAAATTAAAGTCAAGGGGCTAAAAAACATTTCAAGAGTTAAGGGGAAGTGAAATGGAAAAAATTTACTATTTCAAGGGGTAAAATAAAAAAAATTATGGGCAAAATTTTTTTTAGAGGGGGCAGGGGCCACCTCTAGACTCCCCTAGCTCCGTCATTGGCTATATATGTAATTTTTCTCCATGCCAATTTTAGTTTGGAGATCCTTCAGTCACTAAACTCTGTTGATTAAAATAAGTAATATGATTAAAACTTAAAAGAATTAAAATATAAAATATAAAATTTATTTTTGAAATATAAAAATAAATATAAATATAATTTGTTCCAAATAAATATGTGATGATTTCCTTTTTATATAGCATTTAAAATAAATAGAAATTTTTACTTACAAATGTGTTGTTTTATTTAGGAATGAAATACTTAATATGAGTAACACATCCTGTGGCGGCAAATCCAAATGTAAGTTCTCTCTCCGTATATATATGAAAAGACTTTCTTATACCCGATGTATGACCCTTAATTATTGTATTTTCATTCCTGTTATAAGTCCATATTAAAACTGAAAATAGTGAAATTCTTTTTCTCGTGAAACTGCTTAATTTCGAAATGCAAAAATAGTTACGTTCTACACATATCCAAGGTATTTTTATTAAATTTTCTTTTTCTATTTTGTGATTGCAGACAATTCCTTGTTTATAAATTGTGGTGGTGGACAGCTAGAAGTCGAAGGAAATGAATATGAGAATGATACTTCAAAATCAAACTTTTTTGTGAGTGAAAAAAGAAATTGGGCTTATACTTGTTGTTCTGGCCAATTTTGGTTACCATCAGGCAATTCAAGTTTCCCCATAAGCAACTCCACAACTTCTTTATATGAAACGACTCGTTGCTGTCCTGTTGCTCTCACCTATTATGCCTTCTGTTTACACAAAGGGGATTATATCGTCGAACTTCACTTTATTGACAATGACACCAATGTATGGAAACGGATCTTCGATGTGTATATCCAGGTAAAATCACTATATTACTGTTCCAAAAGTTACACTAATTACATGTCAAATTAATATTTTATGTGTAAAAGCTAAAAACGGTAAAAATCATTATTTTTAGTATAAAAAGGTGTGCAATATTTTCAAAATTTACAAATTCAGGCGAGATGAGTCATTCATAAAATTTAGAGTGCCATAAGATTAAAATTACAAACTTGAAGAATGAATTTATGTATTTGACCTGTATCTATAATTTGGAAAAGTTTATTTTTTATACTATTATCATTTGGTCTAATACGTAAATTTGACTTTTAATTTTGGCTGATTCTCCTTGTGGCTTCTTGAATTTTATAGGATTCAATCATAACCATATATTTTCACATTTTAGTAATAATTATACTCCTCGCCAAAATGAAATAACTTTATGATGTTCAATCATAAATCTACACTTTCACATTTTATTTTGAAGAATGACATAATTATCATAAAAGTATAAGATCTTAATGGGTCTACTCACAAAGTTTAGTAGGCCACAATGATAATTGTAGGAGATACATGATCAAATTTATGCAATAGGTCATTATTATTTAATCTTTAATGTTTGTTTGGCAAAATTAGCTGTTAGCTATTTTAGTAGCTTTTCATAAAACATTAAAAGTCAAATGTTACATGATTAACCTTTTATAAAAAGTTATTTTAACCTATAAAAGGTAGTTCAAACAGTATATTATATACTGAATACTATAAAAAATATCATTTAGCATTTAAATAGTCAAATTGTTTAAAACTACTTAAGAAGTTATTACCGAATACAAACTTAATGTTTATGCTCAGTAATGAAATATAATATTAAAATATGTTTAATTACGTTATATTCCCTTCGGTAACTGCTCATCATTGCATTAGGACGTGAGAGTGTTATCAAATTTGGACATCAAAAGAGAGGCCGGAGGTCCATACCAAGTGCTTGTAAAACGTTTCTCAATAACTGTAAATGACAGTTTATTAAAGATTCAACTGTATTGGGCTGGCAAAGGATCTCTATACAACCCAGTTGGTCGTAACGGACCTATTTTAGCAGCTCTTTCTGTAACTCCAAGTAAACAACTTTTCTTTTGTTTTTATGTTATTTTTATAATTTTTATTAGTTTTGCATTTCACCATTTGTTATTATTTGCGTTCAGGAAAAAATAGAAAGAAATTGTCTTCTTGGCAAATTGCAGTGATTACACTGGGTTCTATTTTGACTCCATTGATTGTATTGGCTTTCATCTGGAAATTGGTTTGGCTAAGGAATAAGGAGTTGAATGGTGAGATTTTATTTTGCAATACTTATATTTCTTTAAAGAGAAGGTTTGCAATTATTTGCAGGTAACTTCAACTGATACTTTGTTCTCTTTTAATAGAAAAAGTAATTAGATTTGCAGGCAGAGAGATCACCCTTAGGCAGATTATAAATGCTACTCAAAATTTTAGCCCTAAGGTGCAGATTGGTGAAGGCCATCTTGGGAAAATTTACAAGGTTACTATTCTACTCTACTCCATTAATTGTGTTTTATCTTACAACATGGATTCTGTTCTGCAAAATTAGTGGTACTAGCAGCCATTAGATGTTTAATGTTTTGTTATCTATTTCCTCAAACTCTAAACACCAGTACAAACATTATCCCATCTAACATTACAAATAATGAAAGTAGCGTCAAAACGCTAAAAGCTATATAAAAAGTGTACCAAACATGACCCTAATATTATCTACTACGTGACTGTAGGCTCAACTCCCAGATTTGACTTTAGCTGTGAAAAAGATATCCCCTGAATTGAAGGAGAAACAACAAAATCTATTGCAGAGGGAAATTTTCAACTTGACATCGATGAGACATGAGAATCTTGTTCAACTTCTTGGTGGTTATTCTGGGAAAAATCTCAGTCTACTAATATATGAATACATGGAAAATGGTTCCCTTAGTCAAGCCTTGTTCGGTAATCATTCAGTTCTAAACTCTTGTTTAACTTTCCATAAGTTTGCTTCCTAGACGATCTTAAGTGTGCGTTAACTGGTAATAGTAAATCTGGAGAAAGAAAATTTTAATGCTTTCAAGTGAAAACTTAAGTATGTTTTGATTTGCAGAACCCAAATCATCAGCAATTGATTGGAAAACTAGGTATGGTATATGCCTGGGAATTGCGAAAGGATTGAAGTACCTACACGAGGAAAAACAATCCAACATTATTCATGGGAATGTGAAAGCTAGTAAGATTTTACTTGATAAGGATTTTACAGCTAAACTATCAGGTTTTGGGTTGGCTACAGTTTATGAAGATGATCCAATATTTATGAGTTTGAAGGCAAGAGGGTCACTGTAAGTGACACTATCCTTTAATATTCAATCTTTTGGTATAAATAAAATTCCATAAAACTATAGCTATCCTTGTTACCCTTTTTATTAAAAGCTGACCATCAATCTCATACATATTGCAGAGCTTATATGGCTCCTGAACGTGTCACTCAACGTTCAATAACAGTTCAAGCTGATGTTTACAGTTTTGGAATTGTGATGCTTGAAATTGTTAGTGGGCGAAGCGTAGAATATGAACGATACAAGGAACATTATGAGTTTCTAGTAGATAGAGTAAGTGATATCCATTATGTTCAATTAAAGATTGTAAGTTAACATATATAGCTAATTCTGTTGTGTAATTGCAGGCTTGTGTTTTACATGCAAATGGTCGTATTTTGGACTTAGTTGATGAAGAGTTAAGGTCGACTGAGTATGATCGATATGAGACCATGACTATTTTGGAGTTGGCAATGAAATGCATCAATCCTGTCCCTACTCTTAGGCCTACCATTTCTGAAATTGTAGCTGCACTTCAAAATAGATCAACATCTACGTAAACAAGTTTTAAAAGGTAATGACTAATGAGCCGATCAACTATATATAGGTTCTTGGTCGGCTCTCTACCAGTCTAATGCATAAATTTGACCTTGAATTTTGACTTATTATTCTTGTGGCCCCTGAACTTTGCAAGGATTCAATTATGATCTTACGCTTTTACATTTCGGTAATAACCATGAGTTCGCTAAAAGAAAATACTTTTGAAGGAATTCAATCATGGCACAAAACATTTTCACATTTCATTTTGGCGAGTTATAGTTATTGAAATGTGAAAGTGTAAAGTCATGATAAATTCTCCGTAAAGTTCAAGGGATATAAGGATAATCGGTGAAAGTATAGGGTGAGATTTATATATAGACGACACTGTCCCTTTCGAAAGTTGTGCACGTGATCTTTTAATAGTATGTTTATATTTATGTAAAGTTAAAAGTAGCTTTTGCATGTTTGTTGGATTTTTGTTGTGACTACTGTTTCCAAAACAACTTACCGCGCTGTTCAATATTTTTATATGAACATGAAATGGGTTTGCTTAGTGTCATGTATAGAATTACTCAGATATAGAGAAGTGATGAAGTTGATATTTCATTGTTGATGATGATGTTGGGTGAATTGGTATGTTATAGGATCCAGTGACGTAGAAGAAGTTTCCATTATTTTCTCTCTCATCATCTGATAGGAACCATCCAGATCCCTAATTTAATATATGTCAATTTCTCTTATAAATATTAAAAATTTTAATAATCTTAATTTTTTTGAAAAATATAATTCATTAATTATAATACTAAATATTATAAATAATCATATATATCAAACAATTTTACTATCATTATAAGCTAATAAAATTCGTTGATCTTTTAACAAATCTAAAGAATTGTATATATTCTTTTAAATAATGAAACTATAAATAAAAAGATATAATAATAGATCTTTTCGCTTGAAGATGATATTGACAAAAGATGTAAACCTTCGAGTAATTAGTCCTTTAATTGATTAGGACCTTAATTGTTTTTCAAGAAATTGCAACATATAATGTACACAAATGAGTTCTTACTCTATGCATATCAATAGAGGAATAGACTGTACAGGCTTCATTGATCAAAAATCCACATATACGAATCAAATCTAAGGTCTGTAACCAAATAAAATTAAATATTATACTTATATTTACTAATAAATCCTCACAAAGAAGGGTTCAAGCCCTAGAGAGAAAATAACAATAATAAAAATCAAAATAGATTTATTATAGGAAAAATATATCTGAGAAGAAAAAAGAGTAGAAGTTGAATCAAAAGAAAAACTAGAAGGAAGGGACTACCGCTCATGATGAGCAGCAGCCCCAAATTAAAATTAGAATTAGACAACTAGAAGGGAAAGAGAAAATATATAGTGTAATGACTCAATACTATTTTATTTCGAAAGAGCTCAATTAGTTAGAAAAATAAAATAAAAATAAAAAATGCCCAATTAAATACATATATTCACAAGAAGTTTTTTGCACAAAATTAATCCATGTAATACCACAATTTTTAAATGATTATGCATTCTCAATAAAATTCAATTTTTAAAGGATTAGATTTGTTCAGAACCGGTTTATTAGCCCACTCATATATATAGATCGAATCAATAAAAATAGAGACTTTATCATAGATCACGTCGAGACAAGTTATTCCTATTCCTAGACTTGTAGTCGCTCTCTGTCCCTCTCTCTTTTATACATATATTTCCATCCCAAAGATTAAAAAAAAATTCTTCTAAAAAAGTAAGACAATTTTAAAAATAAAATAGCATTAGTAAACCATGGTCATAAAATATTTAGTCCCATATTATTATTTTAATAGTTAAAAAAATACTTTATTTTAGGAGATTACATATGTTCATAAATTAGTAAGTTATACTTATCAACTAGTTTTTGAACAATATTTATTATTTATGTTAATTGGTTATTAAAAAATTTCATTCCTGATAATAAAATAAAATATCTGATTAAATTGTTATATAAATATATTTAATAAAATCATATCTTATCCAATATCTCTGAAAATCCTCAACTGAATATTCTGGCGGTTAGTAGTGGAGAGAATCTCTCCACTACCCCACCTCTCTTTCCTTTATATAAAGAACTACATACGAGAAGCAAAAGACAATTCTTCTCAAATTTTTTCATACTTTGATCTCAAAAAACTCTCATTAAATAAATTAGAGAACATAAATTTTTTTTGTTATTAAATGGTGCAGTGAGCATGGAACACACCTCACGATTCTTTCAGACCTGAAACAAAATCCCTTTTTTACCATGTCCAACAGCTCACTTAGAAACCCAAGCTTAGAGGAAGTGGTGAGAGAGTAAGAGAGACCTAATAATCAAGTGTCAATGCCACCTCCTCCGGTGACCGATCCTCAAGTGGAGTTGCCCTAACTCGAGCTTATGAGCAGTTCACCACTATACTTGAGTGCTGCTAACCAAACCTCAGTAGGAGAATGAGCGTCAATTCCCAAACAGCACAGGCATGCATGTTGACGGCCATCAAGAGCACCCAAGTCTGTCGAATATATCTAAGAGACAAAAGAACAACATGCCTTTTCAGGACGAACCTCTAACCGAGCTGCTGGAGGTTGAGTCAAAAGCTCACCAGAGCTCTTATATGCATGACAGTAGGGAGTTCGCTCCACCTGTAGCAAACAACGCCGATCTTCGTAATGTTGTCAAACAGACCTTTAGAGAATGTAAGAAGCATGGAGAGATCGAAAACTTCGGACTCAGGGATGAATCACTCCTATCTTCGAATATCCTGAGCTCATCTTTCCCGCTAAAGTTCAAGATGCCAATCTTCCAAACTTACAACAGCACTATCGATCCCTGAAGCCACCTATCAACATTCAGAACAGTTATGTACTTGCAGACCAGTTCAGAAGGCTTTATGTGCAAAGTATTCCCAATCACGCTCAAAGGCGTTGCCCAAGAGTGGTATCAGATGCTAAAAACTAGCTCTATCCAATCTTTTGCTTAATTATCAACACAATTTAGAGCTCAGTTCATCACTAGTGTCCCCTAGAAGAAAATTTCCTCTGACCTCATTGATCTGAAGCGAGAAGAAGGAGAGTCATTAAGACAATATGTAGTAAAATTTCAAGGATTAGCAATGTAAGTGGAGAACTTAAATGACAAAGTCACCATTAGCACCATGGTAAAGAACTGTAATTATAATAACCTTTTTGAAAGTATAAGCGTTTACCCTCCTCTATCTTTTGCTGAACTAATGGCAAGAGCTCATAAGTACACACTCTATCTTTTGCTGAACTATGGCAAGAGCTCAATAAGTAAAAACTTATGAAAGCCTACCTCGCACATAAAAAAGCTCACCTCGGGAAATGGATTAAACATAGTGAAGGCGTCTCATCTCAACACAGGGGAAGGTCGTCAGTCAGACACCTAAAAACCAAGCCTACCTAGTTCAAAGCCCCTTTATCAAAACAGGAAGATACAGTTCGACTAAAGAAAGGGAGTTCACCCTCCCCCCCCAAAATAATCAATGCTATATTAGCATGGATATTGGCATGGATATTGGAGCAAGGTAATAAAGTATAGATAAGCTTCCCCAAGAAATTGAAGGAAGATACCAGCGAAAATAGAGACAAATGTCGATACTGTGAGTTCCATAGAGACATTAGGCATGACACTGAAGCTTGCTAGCAACTCAAAAGAGAGTTAGAACGTCTTGTGCAGAAAGACGAACTAGAGGATCAGGAGAGATCGGAAGGGCATGCCGATCTAGGGTATAGGAAATGGCTATATATGTTAAGTTTTTCCTAAGGATTTTCATAAAAAAACTCTCCTTGCTTCTCTCTAACTTACAAACTTAAGCAGTCTTGGCCGAGCATCAAAACAAGCTCTTTGACGTATGGACTTAAGCAGTCCTTGCCGAGCTTCAAAATAAGCTCCCTGACTTACGGACTTAAGTAGTCCAGGCCGAGCTTCAAAACAAGCTCCCTGACTTATGGACTTAAGTCCTAGTCAAGCTTCAAAATAAGCTCCCTGCTAGGCCGAGCTTCAAAATATTCTCCTTGACTCACGGACTTAAGTAGTCATATACGAGCTTCAAAACAAACTCCCTGACTTACAAACTTAAGCAGTTCTAGCCGAGCTTCAAAACAATCTCCCTGACGTATAGACTTAAGCAGTCCTAGCCGAGCTTCAAAATAAGCTCCCTGACGTAAGGAGTTAAGCAGTCCTTGTCGAGCTTCAAAACAAGCTCCCTAACTTATAGACTTAAGCTGTCTTGGCCGAGCTCCAAAAAGCTCATTGACAGATGGACTTAAACAGATACACACACAGAAACAGTTTGCAATAGACAGACACATTTGGACATAAATGACCAAACCCTTTTTTTTTAGGGGGGGGGGGGACCGCCACATAAATGAACCAAACCACCCTTTTCTCCTCTTTCTCTAGGCGGGGGGGGGGAACCTTGCATAATAAAATAATACTTCTGATTAACATTGAATATATAAATATATTCTACCTAAACATCATATGTAACCCAATATCCCTGAAATCTCTCACACTCTCACACTATTAAGATAATAAAATAAAATATCTGATTAAATTGATATATAAATATATTTAATAAAATCATATGTAACCCAATATCCCTGAAAATCCTCAACTAAATATTATGGCAGTTAGTAGTGGAGAGAATCTCTCCACTACCCCACCGCTCTTTCCTCTATATAAAGAACTACATACAAGTAAAAGACAATTCTTCACACATTTTTACACACTTTCAACTCAAAAAACTCTTATTAAACAAATCAGAGAACATAAATTATTTTTTGTTATCAATTCCATATATTTTTCTCTCGATAATTTCCCTTAAGCGAGCACGTTTAACCCAAAAGTTCTTCCAACTCTCTAGACCATTCCACCAAATGGCGACTTTGATGATTAGTTTTTTCCCGTTTTAATATATGACATACTCCCTCTGTTCTCTTTATATAGAGATAACTGAATTTGCACATGGATTAAGATGGTAGTTAAACCGAATATTTTTCCTAAATTATGCCTATTTTACCCCTAAACAGCATTAAATAGGCTCTTTATTTGATACATAGACAACTCATACAAGTAGACTTTCAAACTAACATTAATTACACGATTTTAGTCAAATTGAAGGGGATTTGAGCTGAAATTAGAGGGAATTCTGAGATAATGGAGTTAATTTCTCCATTTTCTAATTTTTCCAAATTAAAATCTCACTTTTGAAATTTTGAATTTCCCTCATTTTATAAAGTCCTGAGGAATTTTTATTTTATATGCACAAATATGACGAAAATGTGGAACCAAAATTTTTTATGCTCTCACTGGCTCCTCAACTTCTATAATATGCACTTATATGAATTGAAAACAGAACGTGAACATGTAATTGCATTCATAAGCTTTTCAAACTAAGGGCAAGAGAAAGAGGGGAATGTTATTTCTTGCATCATGGTCGCTCACACATTCTCATGATATGCACGCAACTTTCCGTTTTCCAGACTTGAACTCCTTACCTGATGCAGAAGAAAGCATTGTGGTGGTTCCTAAAATGAGTCA